CGCTGGAATTCAGCTTCTTTCTGGAGTTTTTTGTACACTAGAAATTGAAAAACAAGGCAGTATGAAATTGAGTTGAGCAGTATAAATGCACATGCTAGCCACTGAGCTAAGTGGTTTATATTATTATAACACTCATACATTGTGACCACCCTACTCATTCTCAATCTTTATAGGTGAAGAAATAGGCTTAGAAAGGTTAAGTAATTTGTTATAAAGGTTATACAACTAGGAAATAGTGAAACAGTATTGGATGTTGAAAATATAAAGATCTGCCTAGCCTTTCCATTGCTTTGTTAAATGCTACACTTTAAATCTTGGTAGTTTTTACGGTAGCTGATTTACTTCAATCTAGTTATAATGTATGATTAATAGATTTGGCATGTACTACTTTTGCCTATTTTTTTCTCAGTTTAAGTAATTTAAAGTAAGTGTGCATTGTAAAACAGTATCATGGTTTGTTTCTGAGACATGTATACAGTCTTGGTTGTACTGCAATCTCCCTCACTGGAGAATTTTAGTGATAAATATTTGTTTATATATGAGTCTATTTAAGTACAGTCTTGCCTGCGGGCTAGGGATAAATGTGATATTCTTTTAAATTAACTTTCATGTCTATAAAATGAAATACTATGTTAAAGTGTTAACTAAAAATTGTATTTTGAACAGTAGAATTCATTTCAGAAACAATTCCAACTACTTTCACATGACTGCTTTTGTGCCATGGGGTGTTTGGACTGAAGGGAGTATCAAAGTTCTCCAGTTATTATTCCCCAGGAATCTTACCATCACCAATGAGAACTAGAGTAGAATGGTTGGTGGCTTTTCCATCGTGAAGCTCAAAAGTGTATGTTCCCTCATCATCATCCTGTAGCTTTTCCATGAACATTTCAATTATGCCAGTGTTTCGGTCAATATGCATTTTATATTTCTTCCGTGTGGAAAGGAAAAGACAGAGAAATCAGTGAGGTAGATATTTTACTTTGATGACAATAAGCCTGATGAAATAAAAATAAACCCCATAATTTTAATAAAATTTCTTGACAACTGAGCAAGTTCTTTAAAATCTTATATCCAGGAAAAGGGAAATATTATATGGGATATATGACCTAGACCTGAATTGATTATTAAAAAATCTGAAATTTAATTTCTTAAATCTAAATAAAGTTTTGTTGCCCAAGTCACAAAATGTTGTCAAAAAGCTGATTTTAGATTTTCATTTTACCTTCCAGATTACTTTTTTCTGAGACAGGGTCTGGCTCTGTTTCCCAGGCTGGAGTGCAGTGGCCTGATTATAGTTCACTGCAACCTCAAACTCCTGAGCTCAGGCGATCCTCCTGCCTCACGCTCTCAAGTAGCTGGAACTACAGGCATGTGCCATGACACCCAGCTAGTTTTTAAATTTTTTGTAGAGACGGGGTCTTGCTATATTGCCCAGGCTGGCCTCAAACTCCTGGACTCAAGCGACCCCCCCCACCTCAGCCTATCAAAGTGCTAGGATTACAGGCAAGAGCCACTACGCCTGGCCTGTCCTTTCTGAGTCTTTAAAGATTTTTACAATAAGGATGTATTGCATTTTTAGCCAGAAAAGCAATGAAAGATATTTGCATTTTTCTGAGCCATTGGAACAAGAGGACTTTTCTCCGCATAATGTATCAGGTCTCCACCGGGGTTCCTGATGTGAGTCTGATGTAGACTCAGGTAGGGTATCGGCTCCCTTTGCCTTTCCAGGAAGGCCACTCTGTTTTCATGAGTGACCATACTTCTTGGTTTGCCTGAGACAGTTTTGGTTTGTGACTGCTGTCCTGGAAAAGCTATTAATAGCACCCCCTTTCATTCTCAAAAGTGTGCCAGTGTGGATAATATGGCATAGTCAACCTGTATGTTTGTTTCACATTTTTTACTTGTGAGAGTGATTTAAACTACCCGCCCCACTACCCAGTGGTTTTCATAACAACTTATCTGCATCCTAATAACGTTTTCTCAGTGTATTCTACAATGATACTTTAAAAAATCTAAAAAGTGTAAAAACCTACCGGCCCTTCAAAAATTTCCCTTTCGTTAAATATGTAGTTGACTTTGGCGTTGCCAGATAGCTTCTCAGCCTGCATCCAAAACCGGACCTGCCCTTTCTCCAGAATTTCAACTGCCAACTCTGATTTAACTGGGACAACTATAAAAATAAAAATAAACATATTAATTATATTGGTAACCAATTACATTGATATGGATTTTCTAATGAGTAAAAAAATAGGAATAGGCAATGGAAATGGCAAAGTAGCATCTTCTTGCAAAGCCCAGAGGCAGGAGAGTGCTGTAGGGAAAGCCTCTGATTAAGGACAGAAGACGTGGACTCTGATCCCCAGACTGTCACTTTGGGCAAGTTGTTCACCTTCTCAGAATCATAGCCTTCTCAACTGTCAAAATGAGGAGGACGAACTTATCTCTAGGGGCACCTCTAGTCAACATCTGTGACTCTCTCCTGGGGCTTTGGTTAGGTTTCTTTAGGGGCAACAACAAGTTGGGATGAAAAGAGTCTTGGGCTGGCCCCAGGAGAGCTGGAGTCTAGTCCAAGGCTGATACTAACAAACTGTGTGATATTAGGCGGGTCACGTCATATCCTTGCACCTCACTTGACTTGTCTGTAAAATGAGTAGAATTAAACTAAATGCCCTAATTAGCCAAGATATTTTCCAGTGCTAACATTCAAGGGTTCCATATTTTAATTTCTTCAAAATATTTAGAAAGGAGTTAAATTTGACTTTTTCAAATAATTTAATTTACTTTGGGGGTTCTTTTAAAAATGTTTTTCAAAATGAATTTTTTAAAAGAATTAATGTTGCCTATACATACAAGATGAGCTAGCTGGTCATTTAAACCTTACGTATCCCAATGACATATCAGTTCATTTTAGTTCCAAGACCAAGCAAAAATTTCCAGAGGCAAATAAGTGAGTCACTATTGAGAACCTATATTAAAACGCGGCATGGCTTTCTTCTCATGGAAAGTGAAGGAATCACATGGGATCACTGACTCACATCTATATCGGTTAAGCCACTTACATCTCAGTGAAATTTTAAAAGTTGGCTGGCATCTCTCAAAATCAGCCTTTCAGTTTCCTGTAACTTGAAAATGCTCTCTAGAAAGGCTCCCCCAGCCATAGTTTTGCATCAGATGTGGCCCCAGGGTGTACTTTGTGGAAAAGGATGGTTGTTTCTCACAGTTAAGTCGTCCTTAGCTTCCTTGAGGGGAAACTGTCACCCTTTACTTTCTCTAAGCTGTTCTTACATTTACTCAAAATTTTAGCATGTGCTGTTTTAAATTACAAGCTTCTCAAACTTGTCAAATGTACATTAATATTTCTTTCCGTTTATCCTAAAACCACCCTTTTCAAGCTTCAAGCTTCAAGGGATGCTTTCCTTCGCATTATTCCATATTTGCCATAAAGTTCAATGATAGATTCTTTCTAATTCAGGCCTGAGAGGAGGCTAGACATTGTCTGCGGAAGGTACCATGGTGGAAGAAGATGGGCTTTAGAGTCACACCATGACCTTGACCAGTTACTCTCTGCCTTAAGCTGCGTGTTCTCACCGGCTAACATGGATGTGCTATCAAGGAGATGAAATCTAGTAACAGAACACATTAAGTCGCTGTGAATAATGACCACTGCTCAAGAAGGTTAGTCCTTTTCCTCCCCTCTTTTTACTGACGAGAAAATTGAACCCCAGTAAAGAGCAGTAACATATCTGGGCAGTTGAGCTGAGACCAGGGTTATCCCCTTTTCTCTGCATTGCTCTCGTCCTGGGTGTCCACTCTGAACACTGGCGGTTTGCCGGTGTGAGTGCGATGTCTGAGTGAAGCAGATAGTGGGCAGAACCCAGGGTGGCGAGGGCAGAGGCTGAGCTTTCTCCCTACGGGATGCTCATGGTTGCTACAAGTCAGTCCTGAGTAAAGTGGAAAGTACAATCTCTTTTAGAAGTGTCTGGAGACCCCATTCTGGGGAACCTTATATATGAATGAGGCGGTTACCCAAATGGCCTGGAGTGGTGATGGAGGGCTAGGGGCAGGCCCTCCTGGAAGCCTCCAGCTCCCATAATGTTCACTGTCCTCCCTGAGTCATAAGAACATTGTCTGGGGAACACTGGTCACGTGAACTGCCACAGAGGGCACAGAGCAAACACAGTAGACGCATGAACAAAGATAGCCCGTGTTGAAGGGAA